CTAACCAGTAACCCACCCAACATTACTTCTACAGCTGTCTCACATTGACTGCACAAATAAATGAACTACACAAAATAGAGCAGCCCCCTCCCCATACAGTCACACACAGTCACACCTCAACCAAGGCAATTGAGGATTAAACCTGGAAACTTTCACACTGAATCGGATCACAGAGCAAGCCGGTTGCATAGCTGTGATTATGCTGCTTAGTGAAATACTGGCTTCTGCTCTCTGTAAAGCAAAAGAAAAACAAAGCAAACTGTTGTATGGAACATGAGGATTAAGAGGTAGAATGAGCCAGGGAAATAAAGGTTTCATAATGTGGAAATCTGTAAGCTAGATGTCTAAAGTTACAGAAGCTGCTCTCTTGAAGGTTTGGGGCCATCCGCTGCTAAGGAAAATTAAACACAGCTTAATGAATCCTGGACCTGGCATGTAGTACAGACCAACTACAAGAAATAATAATAATAATGGATTGCATTTATATAGCGCTTTTCGGGACCCCTCAAAGCGCTTTACAATTCCACAATTCATTCACTCTCACATTCACACACTGGTGGAGGCAGCTACAGTTGTAGCCACAGCTGCCCTGGGGCAGACTGACAGAGGCGAGGCTGCCATATTGCGCCATCAGCCCCTCTGGCCAACACCAGTAGGCGGTAGGTGAAGTGTCTTGCGAGACTGTCCGAGCCGGGGCTCGAACCAGCAACCTTCCGATTACAAGGATTACAACTCCCAACTCTTGAGCCACGATCGCCACAATCTTGAACCACGAGAGCACAATATGCTAGTGAAACCATTAGATTTAATAAAGTCCATGCATTGATAAATAAAATTTGATGATCAACAGGCTGGAAATTTGTAAAAGTACTTTATCTGGGGAAAAATGAAGACTAGGTACTGTCACAGCAATGACAACCGTCACTAGAGAAAAGAGACAGTAGTGAATCGGTGAAGGGCAAATGTTGCTTAAAATAGCCATTTCAAAAAGAAAGAAATAATGCAGTAACTGTGTGAATCAATGACAAGGGTATACAGGAGCCAGCAAGTGGAAGATGCCGATGGTTACAGTGTCCATCACTGATGGTATTAAAGTAAATGAGTAAGTCCTTACCTCCTCCACTGAAACAGGCAGAACAACTCGGCTGTAAGAGAAAGAACACATCACAGTCAGAAACCTTTGCCCAAATCTGCAAATCATTTTACATCTAACACCAGCTGCTCATTCACATGATGCCAGCTTATTGATGAACTGATCAAAAACTGCTTCCAGACTAGGTGGCAACATCCACAGCTGAATATTGAGGCAGGAAGAGGACCAAAAGTTCCTCTAATAAATGCTGATTCCACAAACTTCCATGTAAAGTTGCAGAGATGAAATCAGCGCATTTACCAACTGCTAGAAGAAGCAGCTTTAGTCTCAGTGCTCAACTGCTCTTCAGAACACTTTACCATTTGAATTTGGTTAAGATGGGAATTAGTGTCACTTTGGCAGATCCACCAACAACAGCAGCAGCTCTGGCAGGTCACTGCACCCAGGCCTCGCCTCAGTGCGTTTGTGGTCAGGATATCTTCTGAGAACAGACTGAACCTCTTGACTGTGTTTTTGATGCTTTTTGGAGCATTGTCATATAATGACCTGATAAATACTATTACTCTGGTTTGCTTCAGTATTTTTAATAGTCTGGTACGGCACTAATTAGTGAATATTGGTGTCTGCATTTTGCACAGATTCCAGAGACTGGATATAAAAGATGGAAATTACCATTGGGACGTCCCCTTTGGTTTCTATACCAATTGTTCTTGCTTTGCCTGCAGCCACTGTCAGTAAGTGGCCAGCATTAGAGGCTTTAGTGATGAGCTACTTGTTAACGATAGCAAATTGGTTTCCAAGTTGCATCCACAAACAGGCTGTCAGTTAAACATTTTAATAATCAATACAAATCATATGCATTTATCTTGTTGGATGTATTTTAGTTTTTGTTGTATTATTATCTAAATTACTTTAATTCAATGGCAACCAGGACAATATTTAATTATTGTAATTATTTTTTTAATTTACATTTGCTGAGTTTGCCCTAAAATAGAGGTTTTAATAAGTAAATTCATAGAAGTTACCTTCTACCACAATGTTTGCTGTTGGTGAACTCTCCTACAGAATCAGTGTTAGATTCTTCAAGTGCCACACCTCTGATGTCATCATGTTGGCTACACCCATCTTTTCTATACAGTCTTTGTCCACCAATTTGATTTTTTTTTTTTTTTGGGTGGTGTTGGCTATTTCTACACCTTCAGGAGCAACTTACTGGAAAACTTGTGGCACGTTCCTTTAACTGAGAGCTATGGAACTGATATCATTTCCACATTTTGTGAATAAATGACAATAAAACATTTTTGAAAGGGCAGACACACTATTTCAATGCCCAACAGCTGATGTGTAAGGGTGACAGTGACAAGCAGTTTAGATGTGGCAGTTTAACAGAGAACTAAAGAAAGCAGAGTCTGAGTACCCAGAACCTGGAGGCGCAGCCATAAACATAGCAAATATCACATACAATGCTCCCTCTTCCAGAAGCTCCAGCTTGTTCAGACCCTGCACAACAACATCATGATTTATAGGAATGAATCATTATCACTAGGAAGTAACACGGTAGTCAGTTCTCTGCAACCACAGGAACCTAGAAATGAGGAAGCGGAAAATATGAAGCTGTAATCAAGACCGCTGCAGAACCCAAACAAACAATACAGACGCTTTTAGAGGAAACTCTACGTGTGTGCGCATGTGCTCTGTGTGCGTAGCCTCCTCTCCTATGTCATAACACAATCCCCACCTGCTTTATTCTGACTATTTGCAGGCATGAAGGTGACAGAACATGAGGTTACGTTTCTGTGACTATAAACTGAAAGAAAAAGCAGCACTGGGCAATCCTCTTTAACGCCTGAGCCTCTTATTGTACTTTGCACTGTGGTCAAATGACAGCCAAGTCAGAGGTGTCAGCCAGCCATGATTGGCACATGACACTGTAGTGGTAAAAGCACCCGGCAGCTGATTCTTCCCATTTGAGGCACATGTGATAAACTGGCATTATGAGCTCCAGATCGTGTTAAATGTTCTCAAACTCCTCCCCAATTCTTATGGTTTTCCTGACAAGTTCGAGGCTAAGCAAGTATGAATTACTATATTTTACATTTACAACATCTCGTTGAAATGTTACACTTCGGCTTATATTACATACTGTAATAAACTCTTTAAGTCAAAGAAAGTTAAACTTTTCGAGTTTTCTCGCGGCACTCCTTCCTACTAATCTGAAGTGTGATGTCAGCAGTGGATTTACCTCTGCTGGTAGCGCCTAGCCTAACCTAAAGTTTGACGGTGTCCGGAGTTCTGCCGTTTGAAACGTTACACCCTGTGACTAAATTATTTCCTGAGTGGTCCGTTATTTCTGTAATCCTGCTAACTTTAAACTGCTAAAAGTTCAGCTGACTTCAAAGAGCAAACAAATACATTCATCCTGCTGTAATGGTCCATATTTCGACACAAACGCGTCCCGGCTCGCTCCTTTGTCGGGTGGAAGGCGACAAAGTTCAGATACTCACAACTCTTTAATCAGCATGTCGGTCGTGTCCGTACAAAATGCTGCATACGAGATAGAAAACTTCTTCTCTAACTGTGACAGGAGCACTTCATTCACTGCCTGCCGCTGGGGTTCACTCCGGGAAACTCCGGCTTTCCTTCCTGCGTGTGAGCGAAGGGGCGCGGCGGGAAGGAAGGAGGCGGCACACACCTTTAGCTCAGGTGCCTCCGTGTGACGTTCACGTGCAGTCGTGAAACCTTCGACCAGTTTTTAAGTGAACGTTTAAGTTGCCTTTTCTTGTTATCACTTTCCTTTAAATATCTTCTCACAGTGTCATTAATTTAGTTTATTCTCACAGCCAACACACCGCATCGTTTATAGCCTGAGCTAATCTGCAATGCCCCTACTTGGGGCCTTTAAAACACACATTAAACACACATTAAAACACAAAAATCAAACACAACAAAAACAGAGACTGCAGTATAATATAACATCATAGCAAAACAGCAGCTTATTCATGTATGTATGACTGGTTCATTTTTAATAAGTGTTTCAGATTAATGTTAAAATGCTCAACTCCTGAAGGCAAAGAACAGAAATGAAAATTTCCATTGAGGCACCTTTCAATTTCCAGTGGATGCTCCACACTATACTGAACACAGAGCTCTCCAAGGAACCACAAGGTCACTGAGCATTATATAAACAGAGATTAGATTAGTGAATGTGACAAAACTGTCAACATCTAACACGTTTACTTTATTACGCACTCCGCAGCGGTGCATGCTTATAGGTTGAATGTCTGTTGTTGTAACTATTCTGCTACTGTCAATGCTTCTGTTCCAGTATCAAAACCAGTCAAATAATAATTTGTAAAATAATGGGGTAGGTATCAGTTTAATAGCTCTGGTGGGAAGCAGAAACTACAAAACGGACGTTTTCACACACTTTAAAGCTCATCTTTTACTGTCTATGCATGGCACACTGATTTCTGTGAACTTAACAGATGTGTCCGCATGTGTTAATAGCAAATAGATGGTGCATAACTGAGACATTTTCTAGTGAGTCTCATGATTGCCTGTATGTTTATTTCATTTAGATCTGTGATCCTAGCTCACCAAGTATCCGATAATAATGTACATTTCCTTGTCTTCTTAGTGGGTGGAGTGTGTGTCAACGCCCAGTGTGGTCTAACCAGTACAGAGAGGAACAGTTAACTCAGGTTGAACCTGTTGTGAATGAACTGTTTTCACTGATGCTGCTCAACAGGTTTGCTTTCAGACGTGACTCTCTGTTGCTTTACTTCAAAATCGGGTGGTTTCTGTCCTGCTATGCTATTTAACTGCAGATACCACAAGCTTCCATATTGTAGTACCTCTACCAGCTCTATCTGAACATCTCTGCCACTGGAAATAAGAGACACAGCAGTACAAATTATTGTTTATTTTGCTTCATATATTGATTTTTTTTTTTTTTAGTTGAAACAGCATCTGTTGGAAAGTCCAAGACAATGGCTATACTGTGGTACAAGACAAAAGAAAAACCAACATACACTGTAAGACAATACAAAGACATTCTTGTAAACATCGGAGGCAAAGAAGCGTAATAAAAGACAGAAAAACTAAAATGAAGCATGGTAGGTAGATAAAAAAAATGTCAGAGTTTCAGCTCCAATCTAGATTTTCTATCAGTACACAGTGACATAAAACACAACACACAGAAAGGTTGTCTGGGAATTCATCATGAGAAAAAAAAACAAATAAGTCATCAATACATCGATCAATAAACCAATTCCAATTATCAGAAGTTCGGGTTAAGCTATGAAGGTGAGGATGCCGGGAGGATGGGGTGAGGTGTTTCAGGTACACCGATGAAGGAAAAGTGCTGATTGGTTTACAGTTTGTGAAAAAAATAAACTCACTCGTCCACAAAGTGTCTGTCTTCACATGACATTTACATGTGATGTTATTCCTGCACAAGCTTGTACTCAGAGGACACTTCTTTAAGTTACAGGAAACACCAGCACGCTACCAGAGCCACTCTCTATGGAGTCCAGATAGGGCTTTAATCATATGAAGGACAACTGTACCACAAATAAGGTTTTAGAAGGCAAAAACTGTACATTTTAAGTGACGATATGAGCACTGACTCTACATTCTTTACATTTCCATTAAAAAAAAAATCCATTGTGTTGTATCCCACAAGCACAAAACTGTTATTGAGAGGTTGTCTTTGTGTGGATCTGAATTTACAAAATACAAATAAAGATGGCAGAATGATAAATATTTAGATCTGTTCAGGTCTGATATATCCAATACCTTTTGTGCTAGCTAACTGCTCCAAACAACAAGACATGTGGATGTATGAAATAAGATCTGCATTTATGAAAAATACAGTCAGTCAGGATTGTAATATATGACCAAAAAGGCCACCATTCATTTAGATAAAGAGATGCAAACACCTTTAATTACAAATGCACACTTTTTCCCCGTCATCCAACTAAAATCATTTCTGCACCAACTTTAACCCATACAGTCTTCTACTGATTCTTTAAACCTTAATTAGTTCATCAAGGATGAGATTGTTGCGACTGGTTCGTCCTGTGAAGGTTGCAGAACTGAAAGACGAGTCTCTGCCCCACTGTCCAAGCACAAAAAGGCAATAAAAGGAACGTGTGAAGCAAGGGCATTATACAAAAATAACTGAATTGTAAATTACAAATCTAGATTTTAAATTCAGAGTCTACATTCTTTGCATCATGCACCATCCATAAGCAGCCATGCACTGTGTGATAGATACATGGGCAGGCAGGTCCGTTTTAGAGGCTCTAAAGTGCATCGTGTGCCGTTCTTGTCTTAAGGAAGTCATTCGCTGGGAGCATATGATGGCTGCAGAGCTTTGTCTCTCAGTTCTGCCAGTAAACATTTTAAGGTGTGCTTGAGTAGGTAGCACAGATGAAAGGATAGATGAATGGATGATGGCTAGATGGGAGGAAGAGCGGGGCTAAATGCTACCCGGATCCACTACCCCTGTCACAGTGAGGAACTCTGAGGGTCATGAGGCTGTCTTTGGATGTGCCTCTGTCACCGTACTGCAAGTTGGGGGCGGGGCATGTCAAAGGAGCTTCTCTGTATGACATTTGAGGACAGCAGACTGAATTATTATCTCCCTGCTCCATCGTCTACACACTCCATGCTTCTGTTCTGGGCTTCTGCTTGAAAGACAAAGACTGCTTTATTGTCTGTACTTAGTCTCAGAACGCTGGTGTCTTTTCTCAGAAGCTGGAAGATTGTGTCTGTTTCACTCTGCTACCATCAAGCTAAATCTCCCTTTGTCTGTAAGAGGTGAATTCAAGAATCCCAGAGTTTGTGTGACCAAGCAGAAGTGATACCAAGCAAAACATAATCTGACTGATTCTTTGGAACACGCCTTAAGTTGGTAATCTCATGACCTTAACAGTGCCTTAAAGCAAATGCAACTGACACATGTCTGTGATTAAACTAGCACCTTTTTGTGATTTGGAAATGCAGTCAACTGAATGTCCTGTCTGTCCGGATTTCAGCATGTTATACCTCGCCGAAGACTTATTGCTACAACCAATCAAGATCCTAAAATTCACCTAGCAACCACACCAACCTTTGAAAACACAATATGTCTAAAATCATTTCCACCTTAATAGCTTGAAATCATGCAAAAGAAATAAACACCTAACACATCCAAGATCATATTGCAAGTAAATACAAAAAAAGGTTACATATTTCAAACATATGGACAAAGAAACAAAACAAAAGAAAAATAATGGCAACAGTAATAAAGGACCAGCACCATCGCTGGCATCATGCAGTGTGTGTCTAACCCAGTCACGCACACACTGAGGCTGTGTATCGTGCGCTGAGCTCAAACCTGTCCAGGTTTCCATCTAAACTGCTACCAGTGCTGCTGTCTGTGGGTTCTTATTGAGTTAATGCCCTTGTGCACAAGAGAGCACGGAGATGCCGTGGCCCAGCGTGCTGAGTGGGTCTAAGTATGTGTGCTTCTTCTCACCAAAACAAAAAACAGACCATCCTGGGCAATCATAAAGCAAATGTCTAAAACCTTTGAACACTGCCACTAACATTTGTTTTGGCATCTTCTTCTCCTGTGGTCTCTTAAGTAGGACTAGGAGAAGCTAAACCAGCATGAAATACAAAATGGCAGACATGAAGAAAAAAATGAGAGAGGAGGAACCTTTGGGGAGGCTGAAGCAGCTGCTTCTTTTCTCTCCCTTTAGTCAGTTTTCTCCTCAGTTCACGGGTGAAGTCAAGGAACTGAAAGCTCTCCATGTGGAAAGAATGTGTGTGTGTGTTAGGGGTTCTTCACAGAGAGGGTGAAGGAGGTGTCACAGTGGTGTTCAGTCACATATGGGTGTCAGTATGATGGTGAAAGTGTGTGCATCTGTGTGAGCATGCGGAATGTAAGATTTGTGAGTGTGAGGTGCAGCGGTCTCAGAGTGAATTCGTTCGTCACATGTCCCACAGAAACGTGACCTCAGTCCCCTCCATCTTTAGTTTAGCTCATCTACTTTGTAAAAAATCATCTTCATGCCCGTCTACACGCAGGCCTCGGGCGTGCTGCCGTTGTTCATCTTAACGTAGATCTTGGGATCTTTGTCACGTTCGTCTCGGAGGCGCTGGAGCTGGCGGCTGTGGTACAGCAGGTAGAAGGGCAGGCAGAAACCCAGCATGCTCAGCACCAGGAGACCCACGTTCACCTGGGCACCGCGTGAGTAAAGCAGTTAGATATAATGATATGGTAAACTTTGAATACTACACTCTTTAAAGCCAGTATCTCTATATGTGCATCATCTTACCCATAGGGGGTCTTCCTCCAGGGGTCCCACCATGGCCATGAAGAGAGGTTGCTGGAGCAGGGCGAACAGAGCGCTGATCAGAGACTGCATGCCTGTCAGGCTGCCAAACTGAGAGGATGGATACCTGCAGGGGATAAACAGCATGAGTCATATGGGAAATTTGAACACATTTGTCACATAACTAACGTGAGCTAACTATCAGGCCCAATAAATCAATTTACAGTGAGTCAAATTAAAAACAAATTCACAGCCAGTTATATATCGCATGCCCCCAGACACACTGTTATGTAATATTCACATCCTGTGTAGGCTCATTTTGGATAATACTGTTCTTGCAACTCAGAGGAAATGTTTTAGAAGGTATTTTATTTCATTCCAAGGAAAATGCCCAATCATCATTTTATCTAAATGCGGCAGTGTCAGCTAATCTCCAGCTGCAGTCATTTGGCAATTTTTCATAAGATTTTTGAGCTCTTATCACCGTGCACACAGTCGCAGGTCAACAGGCAAGAACATGTGGCTGCTACAGGTCAAAGTGTGAGAACACCTCACCTCAACTACGTAATTATAATAGCCATTTACATATCTCCATAATAAATATGCAATGTCTATACATATATATAGTCACTTCTTTTACATGCTTATAGTCCATTTTTAATCATGTGGAGTGCTATTTACTGCAAATATAATATCTATACGCAAGAAACTGTTTTTCCAGTTTTAACAGATTTATAAACAGAATCCGTTTTTTGTTTATAATTTCAAACATTAGATGATAGTTGGGGGGTTTTTTGTGACTAAAGTAACTGTAGTGTGAAAGTTTAGTGTTAAATACTAAGAACATGTGACTGCAAGCCAGACTTCATTGCTTAGCAGCAGTGGTGGACTTCTTTTTTTGCTCTAATACAGGGATGTCAAAAACACGTTGCATTGTGGGCTATATACAGCCTACTTTAATCTTAAGTGGCAGAATCAGAGAAATTATCAAAAATGGTCAAATGTAAAATTACAAAAAAAAATCCCATAGCACACTGCCCAGAATGCCCAGTAAATATAAAATATACAGTTTTATAAAGTTTTTGTTAATTTGCATAAAATGTTTTTTTAACAGTGAAAAAAAGTGTTAAAAAAAAAAGACATCTTTTTATAGTAGACAAATTTTCTATCACTTGTTTATCTTAATTTTTGGAGTAGTATGAATGACAATGGGGGAGGGGGTCTTTATTAATAGGAAAAGTGGGACAAAATTTATGCCCTCCTTCATTTTGTCTTTGCTGGACCAATTCTGGCCCACAGGCTTTATGTTTGACACTCCTGCTCTAGAACATGAGCAGAATCTTGTGGAAAGTTGTCCAAAAAGAGTGATTGCTGGCACAGAAGGAAAGAAGAAGAAATGCCTAAAATCCACTTATTTTTAGTCACTTTCTGTATCTAGTGTAGGACAGCATTAGGCTGCATGATTCCTTACTGGTTTGCCATCATCTTTTAAACGTGTCACACACTTACACAGCAGCATAAAGCCCGCCAACTGCAGAGTGGATGAAGCCTCTCACAATAGTGTGCAGGACAAAGGAGACAACCTGAAGTAGGAGAGAAAAGAGGAAAAGAAAGATTTTTACAGCTCAGGGCCGACCTGCTGGGTTTTCACTGAAAAACAAAAGGGTTTGTCTTTGACAAATGAGATTCAAGAGAGAACAAAATAAACTGCAACAACATTTTTGTCCATTAGGTGGCTCCACATCACTTAGAAATATCAGCAGCTGCATTGCCATGTGAGTGGTTTGAATATCATGTACATCACTCTCTCTCTGCAGTGTTTAGTCTCCCTCTAGGGGAGACGTACAGCAGCAGCACATGCAGAGGAGCGTGAACCCACACCACCTAAACACTTTAATAAAATGGCTCCCCCAGCCTCCTACTGCATACCTGAAGTGGGAGGTTGGGGATGATGCAGGTGACTCCAAAGCCAACAAGGAGTATGTTGGTGAAGATAAAAGCTCTGGTGGCATTGACGATCTTCTGGATCCGTTTGTCAGGGCGACGGGGCTGACCAGGCTCTCTGATAGAACAAAAGAAGAAAACATTAAAAAAATTGAGAAAAATAGAATTATTTGTTCCTCCTTAGCGTGCACGCTGACCTCTTGGTGCTCTTGTCGTTTTCATCCTCACAGTCTTTAAGCTTCCAGTCCATGACGTAGCCAATGACAGGAGAGGTGACCAGACACAGGAGCTGGAGCACGCCAAAGATGGAGGTGTACACGCTCACTAGGAGACAAACAGCGGCAGAGGCAGCGTTATTATGGTTTCAGGGTGAACATCCGGTAAACAGCATGAAGACATCAGAGGGT